AAATTTTCATGTGATTTTTGTGCACATTTTCATGTGATCTTTGATAACATTATTTCATGTGATGTTAATGAAAGCTTATTTCATGTGATGTTAATGAAAATTGATTTCATGTGGTCTTTGTGAATAAATTTTTTTATTTTTTATATTTTAATTTGATTTGGGCCTACAAACTTTAGTTTGCAACTTGGTAGGCCTTACAAGTCGTATTCGGTTTTTTTTAATTTTTTATAATATGGCAGGCCATAAATCAAGTATTGAATAGGCTAATAGGTCAGTATATGTTCTAAATATTTTACATAAGCTTAGGCTATCAAACCCAAAATTTGGCTTAACTTGACCCATTTATACCCCTAGTCGTGACCTGTGAAGAACATTAACATAGAGGGACAACAAACTTCACAATTAAAAAGAAACATGGAATAATCAGCGACAAATGTCTAAAATCATTTAAATGACATTGGATCCACATAAATCATTTAATTAGTGTTTAGATATTTTAAAAATACAAAAAAAGAAGAAGTTGTTAATGGATATGTATAAGAAATTTTCATACTACGTATATAAATATATCTTCGTTGATTTTTCTCTTTAACAGTTTCCACTAATTAATAACCAAAATTCACATTCTTGTTGTGAAATAAAATACAAATAACAACAATAAACAATTCAATTCCATTACCAATAGTAATTGTAGCTCTACATTAAAATAATTTTTAGAAAAAAAGGTAAACGTAAAACAACACTCCATTTTTTCAAAAGAAATAAAATCAATAACAACAACCACAAAAAAAAGTTGTTAATAAAATAAAGGGGGCGTGAATTTCACTCATGTTAGAAACACCCAATAAACAATTATGGTCAGCAAAGACAAAGAATTTCACTTTTATAAGGTTAAAAAATATAAATCAATTTTTTCGCTAACGGACAATATAATTACCAATGCATATTCCAAGAACAAGTATCCGTAAAATCTTGAAGAAAGGAACGAAACATCGTGCCTTGTCGTAGAATGGTTGGGTTCCGGGTGGTGAGTGCGAATAAGAAAAAAAGTTAGAAGAAAACCTCAATTGGAAAAAGATGAAAGAAGAAGAAGAAATTAAGAAGAAAGAAATGTTATCTAGCCATACACGGAAAGCAGCTCCATATCTTTATCGGTTACCACTGTTACAATTTTAGCTAGGGTCAACTTACAATTTTAGCTAGGGTCTAATTATAATTACTTATATAATTATATACACGAAGGAAAGTTCTCACATTTGGGAATTAGGTTTTTGACTATTCTTTGTGTGCAATACCCAAAACATAATAGTTCAATGCACCTTCATATTCCATAATTGTAGTCTCGTTATTCATTTGGTTTCATGATTGTTACTTTCAAAGGTTAAGTGTTTGTTCTTTCAAAGGACATAAATTGTGTCCTCTTAATTTTTAACATTATGTCTTACTGGTAAGACATAGTTATAACATGAAAAATAGTTTTTTTTCTCTCTCCACGTCAGCTGAAGTTAGGGATGTAAATGGGCTGGGCTGGGCCAGACTTTGGCTTTGGCGGTCTAAGCCTACGTAAAAATATATTGAGCCTATCTGGCCTATCAGCCTATCAAAGGCTTAGTTTGTAGGCCAAGCCCGACCTATTGTTAAAAAATAAAAAGCATGTCATGGCCTATGAGGCCATTTAGGCCTACAAAGTTGTAAATTAAACTAAAATCAAAAAAATATCTCATTCATTATAAAATAATGTTCAACAAAGACCCAAATTATAAAAATTCTCAAATGGTTTTTAACAAGAACACACAAATTTTTAAATAATATTCATGACAACAATCAACAAAGATCCAAATTATAAAAATTCTCAAATATTTTTTAACAAGAACACAAATTTTTAAATAATATTCATGACAACAAAGATTGTTTTTTTTTTTTGGCAGTTTTGACAATCTTCTAATGAGTCTTCTTCTCTTTTTCCTACTTTGATACACTTCCACTTTTTGCATCTATCAAACTTCATCTTCCTGAAAAATAAAATTCTGTTAATTAATTAGTAAATGCAGGTGTATATGGTGATATATCCTTTAGTTTAGGTGCGGGTGTCAGTAAGTGCTGCAGCTTCAGAAGTTCTCTCCTTCATTTTAAAACCTATAAACCTAACATCCATTTATCACTCTTAAAACCTACAAAAATAGTTCAAAACAATTTTCTGCAGGGTTATAAATTTGAAAAGAGCTCAATGTAATGGTGAAAAAGACACAATAATCAGCATAATTACAAAATGCAAAGCAGCACCTAGTGCCAAATCTGATAGGAATAAGTAAAATTAAACTATAAAAAGGAACATATTATTAATATTCCAAGCAATTCGACATTCAGAAGGGTTGTAATTCAGGAGGAAGGGATCTTTGTTGGTAGCGTGAGTTTGGTCCTCCATGGCGTTGCGTTAAGGCAACGCGACTCGGTTTGCGCTACACGGATTATAACTTAGTAGAGGCACTCGGTTCTTATATAATTAATTATAGGGTTTGTTGTTTATCATTTTAAATGTTTATGTCATTTTAGGAGAGAGATAGACACAGAAAAGCGAAAATCATAGGAAAGAGAAAATAGGTGATTTTTTTTAATTTAAAATTCAAATTTTCTGTGTCTGTATTTCTCTTGAAATGACATAACTTTCTGTCATTTAAAATGACAAACACTTTTTCCTTAAGTATAATTAACTAAAAGTAAAAATTATAAAATAACAACAAATCTAAATCTAAATCTAAATAGAAAATCAAATCTTCTATACAAAATAACAACAATTCATCTAAATACAAACAAATAATAAGGAACATGTCTAGTATAGTTTTTTTTTTTGTGTTTTAATTTTTTTTTTATCCTGTATATATTTTTTTCTGCTTTATTCTAATCAGTTATGTTATTTATTCTTTCTCCTGTTATTTTTGAAAAAAAGACTTCTAAACTTAATCACAAAAATGATTAGTTGACTTATTTCAAAATATGGACCCAATTAAACCAAATAATCACGTTTAAAAATAGGAAAAAGGGTTTGTCCTTCTAGGCTTTGTTTGGAGTTGGTTTTAGGAGGAGGGGAAGAAAAAGAAATGGAGGGTTTTAGTAAGTTCTTCCCTTGTTTGGGAGTTAAAAAAAAGGAAGGGAAGAAATTAGAAATTTTACTTAACCCTCCAAAACTTTCATTCTTCTTAAAATTAAAGTTCCCCTAATTTGGAGGATTTGAGGAGGAAATATTAAAAATTATTTATCTACCCTTAGCATTAAAATGTTAAAACTACATAAATGTGAAACATTTTTAAATGTGATATTATTAGAAAAGTCTCAAATATCGACAAAATTAATCGACGAAAAATATTTTGTCAAAGTAATGATGAAATTTTTGATGAAAATCATATACGTCAAAAATTTTCCGTCAAAATTAAAGACAAAATTAGAGACGGAACCAGATTTTGCTATAATCACTAACATAAATTTTGTATGGACAAAAATATTCAGTCAAAATTATTGATAGAATCTAAATTCTATCGAAACTTTTAACGAATATATTTTCGTCCAAAATTTTTACGAAACACATTTCCATCGAAAAGTTTCGACGAAAATAATTACGTCAAAATTTTTGACGAAAAATATTTCCATCAAAATTTGAGACTAAAAACATTTATGTAAAAAATTTTGACGGAAAACTTTTTTGCCAAAATTCTTTACAAAATTTAAACTTCGTCAAAATATTTCACAAAAAATCATATTCATCGAAATTTTTGATGAAAAATATTTTCATCAAAATTTTCCACAAGACACATTTCCGTCAAAAAATTCTGACAAAAAAAAAATTTCTTCAAATTTTTTTACAGAATTTAAATTCCGTAGAAACTTTTTAGCAAAAAAAAATTCCATCAAAATTTTTAACAAAACACATTTCCATCAAAAAATTTCGATGAAAAATATTTTTGTAAAAAACTTCAACAGAAAATTTTTTGTCAAAATTCTTACGAAATCTAAATTCAGTCAAAAAATCATATTCGTCGAAATTTTCGATGAAGAATATTTCCCTTAAAATTTTTAACGAAACACATTTTCGTTGCAAATTTTCGTAACAAGTTTTGAAGAAAAACATTTCTATAAAAAAATTTGACGGAAAAAAAGATTCGTCAATAATCTTTACAGAATCTGTATTCCATCAAAAGTTTTAGTCAAAAATATTTTCATCATACTTTTTGATGGAAAAAATTTTCGTCGAAACGCATTTCCATCGAAAATTTTCGACAAAAAACATTTCTATCAAAATTTTCAACGGAACACATTTCAGTCAAAAATTTTCGACGAAAATATTTTCGTAAAAAATTCAGACGAAAAACATTTTTGCAAAAAATTTCCACAAAAAAAATGTTCCGTACAATTCTTTTTGGATTTTAAATTCTGTCGAGAGTTTCACACAACATTTCCCTAAAAAAATTTGACAAATTTTTTTTTCGTTGGGAAACGTTTTCTTCTAAAAAATTTGACGGAAAATATTCTATCAAATTTTTTGACAGAATTCTTTTTTCTGCAAAAATTTTGATAGAAATTTTGTTGTCGAAAATATTTAACAAATCATTTTCGTCAACTTTTGACGGAAACTAAATTCCATCGTAAATTTGTTTTTGTAAAAAATTTCATCGGATAAAACTTTCGTCGCCTTTTGATGAAAAGTATTCCAACAAAAAAATATTTTTTTGACGAAATTTTTATCGTATGCAACGTAGAATTTTCGTCGAAAATATGATCTTGTTTTGTAGTATGAAAAATACATAACTAATTTTGTTTAAAAAATTTAAACTTAATTTTATTTATAAAATATAATAGTTATATTAATTTTTAAAATAGGCTAAAATTGTAAAAATATCTCATTGACCCTCTAATATCTCCCTTACCTTTTTTTTAACTCATTCAGCTTAAAATCATGCATTACTTTGATAGAAAAAAAACACGTGTAAATGAGCATTAATCCGATAAATGATATAGGCTACAGCAACATATTTTGATCGTTATTTTAACCTTTTTAAGTTATATACACAGCAAATGTTTTCAATTATCACCTTTGGATTCAAATGTCCAATACATATTATAGCCAATATTATATTGCATTATGTGTGCAATGCAATTCATCCCTGGCACTTCAATCCTCAAAACGTCTGAACCAGTCACTAATGGTTCTGGCAAGGATTCTAGTCTCATTCAAAGAAAGAGATTTGAGCCCTTGGGCAACAGCATCTGTTGGAGTATACAATTTACCCACTTGCCATCTTGGTTCCTGAGCTCCCAGTGTAACCGGCCAGTGATTAAAAATGAATCAAGACAAAATTCAAACGAAGTGAGATGTATGGCTTTCATAAGAAAGGGAATCATCAGAGATTTTCAACATAAGTTTTCTTCTACACAACAACACAAAATCACACCTAATGTAATTAGAAAAAAAGTCCTACAAAAGTGTTTGAAAATCCGTGCTTCCTTCAATCAAATAAGATTGTCAAAGTGATATTAAGATGGAGCACATATATGTATTAAATTATGTTCTTACCTATTCTTTTTTTGTAAGCTGATAGGAACCAAAATAACAGAACCAGAAAATATGAATGAAACATTGTATTTTATATCAAACTGCAGAAATACAAACTATATTGGAAAGGAAAGTGTAAGAAAATACAAGAAAATGAAAGAAACTATAAGCTAGAGGATTCGAGAGGCTCTAGACTCTCCCAAATCACCAAAGAGGTGCCCAAAAGTCCCAAGTCCAAAAGATACTCCCATCCTTCTATTATTCCATATTTATACTAATTCTTTCCCTTCATTCCAGTGTTGCTTTTCACGTGTGACACTAACAAAATTGCCTTCCACTCATATTTGCTTCTAAACTCAGCTTCTTCTAGAATATACCTTTAGAGGTGGTTTAAGGGTGGTGTCCTATTATAAGCTAACAAACTCATGGGCATAATCTTAATGCTTCAGCTGCCCATGATAGGGTTATTCTCGGGGAATCTCTAATTTAGAGATTACTAGTGGAGTGTGTGCCATTCAAAACTTAATAATAAAATAAAAGAAAGTAAATCAAGGAAAAATATTTAGAAGAAAAATTTCATTTTCATTTTTTCTAGCCAAGTTATTTTTAAAGTGAATATACTATCATGCCAGGATTGAAGAGCTAAATCTATCAACTCCCAAAGCATATATCAAATATATCAAGGGTTCATGTTTTCTTATGTTGCATGAAAACATGAGAGAACAAAAGTAGAGACAAATTAAATGTGGGTCCCACATTTTATATTAGAAAAAAAAATTAATTGGCACGGAAAACGAATGTGTGTAGGAAAATTTTTTACTCTTCTGTTGCATGAGTATGATTTCCCATATATCAAAGAATGCAATTTGCATGTGAACAAAGTCCCAGCTATGATAACTCAAAGAAGGGGATTCTGCCAAAGAGGAAAGACTTCATTGCAAGGAAATTTTACCTGAATGCATGGTGTGATGTGGTTACCACTCAATTGTACTTTTTCTAATGTCCTCCCCAATGACTCCACACGAGGCCTCAGTGTTTCTTCAAGAATATCTGTCTCATCAATTGTGTCAAAATTAAACTTCACCTAGAGAGACAGATAGACAACATCAGACATATCTTAACAATGCTAGCTATCTATCAAGAATAAGTTCTAAAATATAGGGCGTCAGACATACCAGTAATGTGTGTTGAACATTGTATGAACTTTTAAAGCAATCACGGTTTTCAGATGGTGTTGGCTTGAACTCTGATACTCCTTGTGTAACCTGACAGAGAGATATATATGCATCAAGAATAAGAATATACAAGTAAGTTTTAAGCATTAACGCGTAAAATAAGTTTTAAGCATCACAGTCAAATTTTCCTTGCAAGACAAAGATATTCAACCATGTTCAAGTTGGGCTTCATACTTACGAATCATTGTTAATCATTATAGATCAATGGTGACAAAGATCGCCATTACTTATTTATAGATTGACCCAAGGGATTATATGCAACAAATACAAATACAGGCAAAATTAAATAGAAAAAAATGATTCAGGAATGTGGTAGGTACAAAAGCAATAATTGGAGGCATGGGAATCAACAGAAAAACTTGACCTCCAAGGTTTTCTCTGTAACACATTGAAATAAATAGCATAGCATAATTTCCAAAATCAACACTTAAAACGTACCTCATTCATTACTAATGGTAACTGGTCAACAAATTTAGTTAATGAATTCAGAACTTCCTGCTCGCTTTCCTGTATAATTGATCCAACAGCATCCAGCATCATCTTCCATGCATCTCCTACATTGGTTGCAGGTGACATGTATAATCATCATAGATGCACTAATTTTTATGGTTAATATATGCAATGAAATACACATACATATATACACTAGATGAACTCTATATGTAAATGAACACACCAAGGAATCCAACAACAAGGGTTGAGGAGGTAGGACAACAATTGCAGCTACTGATTTTAACAGCAGAATTACATCATTAGAAGATCAACGACAATTTTGTGTTTTAGACCAGGACTTTAAATTAAAGAACAAATTTACTATATTGTATCTGAATTTCTAAATTCTATACTTATACAATCACCTCACCGCCAGTAACTGGTAAAATAATGAATAAGTAGGATGACATCAAGTAAAATATATTTCGTCTTCTAACAAATTAGACAATGATAGCAAATTGGAGGAGTAAGATATAGTTCACAAAGCTACATTGGGACTTAGCATATCTTCAAAGCAATAGAAGCAAGAAATGGAGATACCTGATGCATTTCTGGCCATTGAATAAACAGGACTTCCTTCTACAACCGGCATCATCTGTCTGACTGCAGGACCCAACTACAGGACAGCACTGCAAAGTTTTAGATTTTAAAGCACAAAATATGAATAATTTTAGGCACTTTGAAGAACATTTTTTCTCTTCAAAGCCGTGTGAAATGATTTCAGGAAGTATGTTTATTTCAGTGGTTCTGATGCTGTTCTGGATGGTTTGAAAAAAAGGAAACAATCAATTCCGTGAGCAACAAAATTTATTGCTCTGGACAGACTAAATTTATCTTTAGATTGCCTGTAAATGCTTATGTTAATTGAACTTAATTATATGCATAAATGTTACATTGCTTGAGCTTACAAGCCAATTATTTTACATTGGATTGGAAAAGAAAATAGAAATGGAAACGACAGCTTTCGTAAGCTTATTTAAATGTTTCCCTCTTACTTGGACAGTTTTAGAGTCCTTTCAGCAGCTATGCTGAATATGTTATAAAAAAGAAAAAAGAAAAAAGATACTAAAGTCCATTCAGGTGTGTTCCCAATATATTCATAAATCATGACCAGTATTGAGTATAAAAACCACTTCCCGTTAAACCCAACTAGCGAGTGTGAGGTGGAGGCAGTCCTTGTACGCAGCCTTACCCTTGCATAATTGCAAAGAGGCTATTTCCTGGATTGAATATGCCTAAAAATATTTCCATCTTGACCTTGATTAGTTTGTGTAAATCATCCAGGTGAAATACAACATATTAAGGAACCTGTCCAAACGATGAATGTTTCTCTAAAGAACATATTCTTGTTAAAACTCATGTGAAGCGCGCAGTGTTTATACTTCTATGTGGTATAGCTATCCTCCATAATTTTTTCATCCTCAACCAAACTTAATTTTAACTTTAATAACAAAAGTTCTATTGGCTAGGTCTAGTTAGCCTATTCCTTCATCATAACCACAAGAATGAATAATCCTATTTAAGTAGCCTACAAAGACTCTTGTACAAATTGCAGTATTAGCATTCAACAAGTATGAGTGTTAATACCTGCTCAAAGTAAGGGACTGCCTCCGTTGCTGGCCTGTTGTTGTATGAGATTATGGCATTTGCCTTCCACAAGAGATATATACCTTTTCGTCACACTCCATGAATTGCTATAAATCTAAAAGTTTTATTGAAGTAAATGAAACTTCATAATCTGCATTATGCTTCCACAACTAAAACATGCTTATAATAATTTAATTAATACGATACTAACTATTCAGTTGAAATATCAAAATCATTTAGTGCATAGATAAAAATACAGTCTTGTGATGCAGCAGACAGTAAAATAACCAAACCTTGGGTATTTTCTCAGAAAATAAGCTTCCTGTGAGTAGTTGAAGAAGTGCACCATTGCTACAGATTTGAAAAAAAAAGGCAAGAAATACATTACATCCCTGACCTTAATTCCAGTAAGATTGATACTAAACAACCCACCTCCTACCTGTGGCCAACAGAGAAAAGAGGAAGGTCTCCAAGCTGAGCTGGTGACAAATTGGCTTGAGGCAAGCCAGATGTTAGGATTGTATCCAAACAAGTGTGGAACCTCTCATATACTTGTTTAGCAGCTTGAGTATGGTCAAATGTCACATTGTAAGGCACCACCACAACAAGAAAACCTTCCTTTGCCAATAACTCTATTAGGTAGCTGCAATTTGCAAATTAAATGAAGAAAACAACATATCATACTATCAATACTACCAACATAGGAATAGCTAGCAACTATTAATGATAAAGAATCAAACTTTGCATTGAAAAAACAAAAGGGTAACACAGAATACCCATATGTAACTTCAGGAACAGCACCAATGAAGGCACCACCCAGGAATTTGATTATAGCCCGAGGCTTAGCACGATTAGGGGTAGGTGGTATCACTAGACAAGAGTCCAGCTTGGTGTATATCTTGCTATTGATTCTGATGCTTGTGTCTCTTCCAACATACACATCAGAAACCATCTTTGTAGTCCCAACCACCATTCTAGTAGACACAGTGGGAAAGTGGAAGCTTTTACTGAAGAAACCATGTGGGTATTGGTGTCCCAATCCAGCAAACCCAGACAGAATCTTAGTATTACTCGAAGAGAATGTGCATTTGAAATCTGAGCCTAAGATGAAGGAGGAGGAGGTCGCCATTTCCATTACCCAATAAAAGAAAAAAAGAAAAAAACAGAATATGGAAAATGAATAATAATAATACTTTAGATTTAAGAACACTGCTCTATGGAAAGTGTTGTGGAAAATAAAGTAACAAATAAATAAATGAAGGAATTATATAAATTTTGTGTTGTTCACTGGTTCCTCTGATTGTAATTTTCAACCTTATTGGTTGTTGCAAAAGCAGGTACATATGTTAAAGATTTCGCCACGATTTTGGGGTCTCTCCCTGTTGTTGAATCCAATGGCTTCAGATGAGTGACTTGAGATGCTGACTGTTTTTTAGTTTTGGGCTTATGACCCATAACACTCACTATATGGACCTCAGATAATTCAAGTTTTGTTCTATTTTGCGTGGGTTTGCTGTAACGTGATATTGCACTTCCCTTGATTTGAATGACAGGTAAACCAATGGATCTTGTTTACGATTTAGGATTTATTTGAAGGGATTCGGTAGAGGATAAATTTTTTTTTTTTCCGGAAATTTCATTTTTTAAAAATATGATTTTTACATTTAGTTTACGATAATATTCAAAAATTAAAAATTTAAAAAAATTCAATTTACCGAGAATCCTAAAAATTACCGTGAACCAAATGCCCCTAATTTAAGGGAAATCATTGTTTTATATTACATGAGATAACTTTCTCATGTTTCTTAACGGGGAAAAGCAAATGTTATGCAACAGGAAAATGATTTACTTTCATGTAGAGATTTCGAAATTTGTGTTTTGATATTTCTTTTTAGGGTAATATTACTTTCATGTAACATGAGAGTAGTTCTCTCATGTTACAGAGAGAATCAAGTAGGGCCCGCTATTTAAAAGAAAAAAAGAAGAAGAAGGGACACGATTTTCGAAGTGAGAGAAAATGAAATAACTACCTCATGTAAAATGAGAGTAGTATTTCCCTTCTTTTTATTCTATTTAAAAATTATGATGGGCCCCGTTGGTTTTTGTGTGTGCAACATGATGAGACTAAAATTCTGCAACATGACAATCGTTTAACCCTTCTTAATATCCAAAAAAAAAAAAACTTTCTGATGTTTCTATCACATAAAAGTTACATAAAAAGTTGTGTCACTATTTTTTTCTTTTTTTCTTTTTTAATGGATGGTGGGCTCCATCACATCATGTGTCTATGGTAGGAGATACTTATTTTCAACAATATGAGAAAAATAGAACCCTTTATTTTAATGGGGAAATTTTTGATACAAAATACTGCAACATTGCTTTTTGATACAAAATATTTGGGTTGCTGCTCTCTTCTCATCGTTTCAAAGCGTTGAATTAATTGCATTTGAAGTATGTCCCAGAAAAGGTTTAACAGGTTGCGCCAATTGTTCTTTTTGAAACATGAAATATACTTCAAAAAGCAATGTTGCAGTATTTTCGAAAATATTCTACTTCTTTGATGGAGAATATGGCTATTGAGAATTTGAAGATTGCAACACTAAATGGTCACAATGAAGCCAAATATCTATATTATATGCTTTTAATGAGTGTTAAAAATCAGGAGCAACGAGATATTGGATTTGATATCTTTAATTCTTTAAAGGCATCCCTTGATTTCAAAGCGTTGAAACATTGAGTGAAATGTTTCATCCGAAGCATGTGGGTACGTAAAGAGGTCCTGCCAGATCCAGACTTTTATTGGTGCCATTCTAAGACATGCAAGCGAGTTAAGGATTCAAAGGGACTGATAGAGTGGGAGAAGGATGGACATGGTAATGCTATAAGTGTGATTATTGTCTTGCAGATGCTGAAATTATTGAATTTTGCAAAATGACTATGGGAGGTCTTTAATCTCAGTGTTGTTGTGATAACATTTTCGTTGTTGTTTTGTTGCGATTTAAGAATGCTTGAGTTTATTCGTGAAATCATTAAATCACATGTTGTTCTTTGGTATTCGCATATTAAATGCTTTAATTCGTCTGTTTATAAAAAGTTTTATTTTATATCAGATAGAAAATGCGGTTAATATTTTATCAGATAGAAAAATACTAATATGAATAGTAAAACCATGAGTAATTATAAACGTTGTGCATTGAGAATTTCAAAGGTTACAATGATTGATTCCACCAATAATTAAAGACGTTGTCAACTATGTCGTTTGGGCAATCATGTTGTTGAGGGCCTGAGGCAACTATTCTTAGAGGAAGCAATATAAGAGAAATTGTGTTAATCCCTAGAATAACGATGAGACCATCAAGTCATATATATTTTCTATAAATTTTCAAAGAAGACATTTCCCCCTTGTCGTGTCTTTTGCTATGACTATCAATAAGAGTCAATGATAATCGTTTTCTCATGTTGGAATTTATCTCCCTAAGCCTTCACTCATTGACAATTATATGTGGCACTCTCAAGAGTAAAAAGTAAACAGGGATTGAAGATGTTGATACTTGATGATAATGGTTGTGTTACAAATAATACATTTAACATAGTTTCCAAGGAAGTATTTTAAAGATTAGTGTAATTGATTTGGTTCTGTGTAGAAGGAGATAACAGTGTTGTTTGGCACAAGTAAAAATAGAAGGAAAAAAATAGCACAAGGGTCTTTTTTTATTATTTTTATTGTCATTTTGTTTTTGGTTTGGCCTAATCTTTGTTTGTGTTTTTGTTTACAGTAAATTGTTATAATCTTTATTTTGCGTTAATTTTCCAATTACATATTGCGCATCAGTTCAAGTTCAAAAATAAGAACATCTTCCTATTAAGAATGCTTTCCAATTGCTGTTTGGCACAGATAGAAATAGAAGGAAAAAATAGCACAAGGGTTCTTTTTTATTATATTTATTGCCATTTTGTTTGTGGTTTGGTATAATTTTCTTCCATTTTTTTATTGTATGCACAATCATTATATCATGCACAATTAGTTTTTATTATTATCTTTATTTGATTGAATGACCTTTTTCTTTATTTGACATTTTTTTTATTCATTGTTTTTCACAGCATTCCAACTAGAGAATGGATCAAAAGTGGATCGTGAAATCGTTTTTTCCACCCATGATTTTGAAAATTCGAATTTTAAAAATTTTCAAAAGAAGAAACATTTCAAAAAATTTCAAGTGTAAACACAAACCTGAGAATAAAGGAGAGAGTGACACGTCAACAAAGTTGTCAAAGTTTGGATGAACATTTTATATATTAAGATAGATAGACATTATTTTATTGGGTGCCTACGATAATAGTTAAAATTGAAATTTTACCTAAAATTAAAAAGAGGATAAAAAGTCATAAAACAAAAAAATTTAATGTAAAAAAATTATAAAAAATCATAAAAAAATTTGGAATTTTTTTTGATTAAAAAAAATCATAAAATTATAAAAATACAGATTTAAAATTTTAAATCAGAATTTAAATCAAAATTTTAAGTATAATATCTTACCGTATCTGCACATAATCTTTTTGTTACTGCACATAATCTTTTTTTATTACTGTGTTAATAAAAAAAAACATATATATAACTTGTTCGTTGTTCCTACGCGAAGTCGCGAACCCTCTTCTAGTACGTGTTTGGTATCAGATACCGCAAAGCAAACCGAGTCGCCTTAATGCCATGCACAATCATTATATCATGCACAATTAGTTTTTTTATCATCTTTATTTGATTGAATGACATTTTGTTTTATTTGACATTTTTTTATGCATTGTTTTTCACAGCATTCCAACTGAAGTATGGATCAAAAGTGGATTGTTAAATCGTTTTTATCAGATTTGCAAGTGCATGTTGGACCATCTTTATTTCACCTTGATGTGAAGCACAATATTTTATCCTTCTTTTTCTTCATATGTTGCTCGATTAGAATTTATTATAGACATCATGTAACATTTACGTTGCAAACAACTTACCTATTTTGTCTTTTATTTAACTGTCTAACAATTGCTCTCAACTCTATGATCATGGTCATGTTGATAATATCTACTGTTGAGCATGATTATTTAGTTTAAGAGTGAAGAAGGACATTCATTTTTTTTTTTTAACATCATGTCATGCAATTGTGTGTGATGTCCTATAAAGTTTTAGAGAAATTATACTCTTATATCACATAAGACTCTTCTCTCATTTTACACTCAGATAAAAAGACGTGTCTCTCTTTTCTTTCTTTTTTCTTTTTTTAAAAATTGGTGGATCCCACTTAATTTATCTCACAACATGAGATAATTTCTCTCATACAACATGAGAGAAGTAAAACCCAAAGTTTTATTTGTAAATTTTTTTTGGAAGTTTGTGTAACAAACAATAATGACAGTTTATTTGGTTTTGTTTAAACACATTGGTTTTACTATAAGAATAAAAAAGGACAAACACTTTTCTTCTTTTTTTAAATGTGTTTATTTGGTTTAATTGAGCTCATATTTTGAAATAGGTCAACTAATTATTTTTGTGATTAAGTTTAGAAGTCTTTCTTTTTTGAAATAACAGGAGTAAGAATAAATAACAACTGATTAGAATAAAGTAAAAAAAAAATATACACGATAAAAAATAAAAAAAAGCACAATTGTCGCCGCCACCAACCACCATGCCACCGCTACCACCGCTAAGAAAAAGGGTTTGTCCTTTTAAAGGACACAAGGTTGTATCCTTTTAGTTTTTGACACTATATCTTACCTGTAAAATATAGTTATAATATGAAAAAAAAAAAATTTCTAATCCTCAGACACTTCTGCTGACGTGGAGAGAGAGAAAAAATTATTTTTCATGTAATAACTATGTCTTACCGGTAAGACATAGTGTTAAAAACTAAAAGGACACAATTTGTGTCCTTTAAAAGAACAAACACTTAACCCTTGAAACTAACAATCATGAAACCAAATGAATAACGGGACTATAATTATGGAATTTGAAGGTCCATTGAACTATTGTGTTTTGGGTTATTGCACACAAAGATTTGTCAAAAACCTAATTCCCAAATGTGAGAACTTTCCTTTGTGTATATAATTATATAAGTAATTATAATTGGGCCCTAGCTAAAATTGTAAGTTGGCTGTTGCGTAAAATCGGCAAGTGCACCGATCGTACCAAGTAATAAAAATGATGAGTAGAGTATC